ATCAGTTACTTTTTATTATTTATATTTATTATAAATTTTTAAGATATTTAAATATACTTGTTCATAAACTTATATGAATCTTATTTTATTTACAGAATCTATATTATTAAGATAGCTTAGAATAATAATCTCGACTATATAGTATGTTATCATGAGTGAAAAAACTTTAAGATTCAATGACTGAAGAATATAATATATATGAGTAGATAGAAATACTAAATAAATTAAATTTATATAATATTTTTATAAAAATTTAATAGTGATATAATTGTTATAATTATTTAGTATTAGTAATTTATACTGATTTTTATTAAATATTTAAAATAGAAAAATTATATATAATCAATTAAAATATATATTATTTAATATTCATTCTTTATCTAATATTGTATAGATTTAATTAAATATATTCATATTTTCAAATCAACTTAATTATATATTTTAATTAAAAAAAATTATTAGAGAGTTTATGTAGTACTTATCAGCACTAATAGCTTTAAGAATTGAAACTTACTTATAATTAAAAAGTAATTTATATAAATTTTATCCTTTTTTTATTTAACAAATACTATGATATTTATATATACTTCTAAAGTCATATCATATTTATTTATATCTTATATATTTTCAGTGACTATTTCATGAGTCTGTTATATTTTAAAAAAATAGTTATAGAACTGCTGAAGTATTTTCTACTGAGTATTCTTTATTTTTTAAGATTTAATTATTCAGTCAATTATAGATCTTATTATAGAATTTTACTTTAAAATTTTTTATTCAATTCTTATTCAGTTGAGTGAGATTTCAATTCATTCATATAATTTAAGTCATTATTTCTTTCTCATACATACACAAGAGAGGGTAAAAATTATTGAAAATCTTACTCTTTTATTTATCAAACTAAAAAGATTTATTGCTCTGAAGTTAACTTTTGTCAATATTAATGAGTAATTATTTATTGAATAGAATCATTTTTTCTGCTCTTTAATATTCTTCATTAGATGTTATATGCTTTAGCAGCAGCTCATTCAGATTGGAAAATACTATTTTCCAAATTCTCTATAATTGCAGCTATAGCAGCTTCATTATTATTAATATAGTTGAAAAAACGCGTGGTAAAGGTGGTGAGTTAGGTTTGGATAGGGTGGTCGAAAAAGGGTCTGGTCGAAATATAGACCACCTAGCTTAGTTAATTAGTTAGTCAGAGTTAACCAACTTATTAAATATCTAACTCTATGTAGTTAAACTATCATTTCTATCTTCAACTTCATTCAATTATCAAAACATGTATCTTCTACTCGGCTATCCCTACATAACCCGCCCACGACCAAGTCCCAGTCAACATATTGTGGCGGCACAAGTTACGTCTTCCGTGCATTGGTATGGCTCTAGCTCTGACTTGATTTCCTTTTCCCCTCAAATTTTCATTTCTGACATGATGGATGTGATGGATGTCGCTCGAACAGAAATATCATATTCATGCATGCATCCACACCACAGAGTCCAGAACATAGCTATATGTATCTCCACTCTACACCACACCCATTAACATTTTTATATATTATTTTATTTTTAATTTTTTCAATGGACATTTCCTTTCAGCCGCACTTAAAGGGTTTGAAATTCACCAGACTGTATACAACCTATGTTATCCCAAGAAGTTTTGCTTTTTCTTTCGACTCTACTGGCACCCTCTCGTATTCATGCTCGCCAGTTGCCAATTTCCAATTGCTTGTTATTCTGATGTTTTCATGCCCTTCTAATGAACTGGCCAACCCCTCCATCCTCGGACTGCAGGTTAATCAGGTTGCCCCAAGAAGCATCAGGATATAGATTCCTGCAGCATAGTCTTCCCCATCCCTGCCAGTTCTGCGAGTTTATATCCACTGCACCTCATACTGAGAACATGTCGATAACTGACGATCATCTAATAGACATCTGCACCGGTTCCAGCTCTCCTGACTCGAGCTGCTCCCTTGAAGATCCATCCGGGTTCTTCATACCGTGCTGGCAAAGAAGTCACGTGAAGTTCGCGCAGAATCTCGCGTGCGACGGCGAGCCGATAATTCTATACAACGACGAGGACGAGGACCTCATAGACAATTACTTCTTTTCTCAGAAGACTGTTCCTGTTCTTCACCCCGGACATCAACGACTTTCAGTTTTGATGTCACGGACCCCGATTCTTATCCTATGACCTCTGCCAAGATGATACCAGAACTGCCTGGTATCAAAATGCTCGACACGGACGCCTTGTCAGACTTGCTCGAAGATAACCTGTGTCCTCCAGAGATTACCTCTATCATGTTCGTGGCCCTCCGTTCTTTTTAATTTATTTTTAATTTTATGTTTTGTCTTTTTCCTCTGTAGAGATCGTCTTTTAATCCACCGTGGTCAATCTCGATTTGGCCGTATCTAGAATATTCGCAACAAATGGTGCTGTCTTTGCTCATGCCTCGTCGCTGCCTCCGCGCCAGCTACGAAACCTTAGCGCTACTTATGGCGCCGCATATCTATCTTTCGCAGTGAATGCCCCCGCTGGGAATCTTACCGGCGTTAATCCCGCCAGCCACCCCAGCTCATTCGTGACCGCCCCATCAGTGCCGCTTGGTGATGTCGGATCAATAGTCTTCGAATTTGAAAACTTAGCTGCCGTCGTCACCAAGATCGCAGATAAGGTTCTACTTGCTGTTGTGGGACCAAGTCATGTTATCTCTCCCCAGCAGCTGCAACAGCAGCACCATCCATCACCCTCTAGTGGCAGTGGTGGCCGTGGGCGCACTGTTATTGGCTCCTCAGCGAGCGATACCGAACGAAACACTATTGGGCCGGAGTCCTACTCAACCGCATTTGACAACCCGCTGGATCGCCATTCCACGAGTCTTGCATCGTCGGCCCCTAACCCGACATCCGCGTCATCGCCAGAAGCAGCAGCAGCAGACCGCGAACAAGCAACCACTGAGCGGCGCCCAACATCTGCGCAAATGGAATCGGATGTAACACTCCAGCGGCAATGGGAAATGGTTCGAAGCAATGACCTAGACCGTCTTGCAAGCCTGAATCTCGACTCATCGCCTGCGGTATTGCTAGCTCTAGAATCTAAATCTGCAGCCCTGGGAAAGTTTCTCAGTAATAAGCTTGAGGACCTTGAGTATCCGGATGACTTCTGATGTATCTTGCTGTACGATTGTTACTTAGTTTATTTGATTGTTTGTTTCTTTTTCTTTTCTTTTCTCTCTGTGTGTATTTGCAATTAGTTGCTGTGTTTGCCACTACTGTGGAATTATCGTTCTTAGTTTATTTGTTTGTTTGTTTCTTTTTCTTTTCTTTTCTCTCTGTGTGTATTTGCAATTAATTGCTGTGTTTGCCACTACTGTGGAATTATCGTTCTACTTGATATTCGAGTTTCTCGTCTACCATTCAAGGTCTTACGGTTTTATGGCTAGTCTCTTCACTGCGGAACCATCTTGGAACATTATATGGCCTAGTTTTCGTTCTGGTGGTATTTTAATTTAATATTTTTTGGCGTTGGGAAGCAAATATTTTGACTGCTGGCATTAGAGGATAGATAATATGTTTTGAAAGGACAACTGCTTCATCAGCTTAGATTTCTTGCAACACTAATGTCAGCCATCATTACACTCTGCAGTGGACGTAATGACAAACAAGTGCTTTTATTCATTCAGGTTTAGTATCAGATGAAAAAGAAATACATTGTCAGCTAGGCATGTGATACAGATGACCAAGTGAGAAATCGTGAGAAATTGTGAGAACATATCCAAGTGAATTCATCGTGAATGATGGGACAATAGAAAAGACATCCATATCCAAATTACCGAAATAAATAGTAGAAATGGACTGAAATATTAAGTAAGATCCCCAAAGGTGTCAGCATGCAATATCATCTTTTTGCCCTCCTCAACTCGCTACCGCATGGCAACATGATCTTGATATACCAAGATAGAGGGAGAAAGAATCATCCAATAGACAAAGGAAAATGTGGGAAAACCCCAGGTATTCGCTCCTCCATAAAGGGGCTGTTCCTGATATATGAAAATCATGAAATTTCCGGATTCGGCGTTGGAACGGCTGCTACTTCCTCAGTTTGCGGTGCCATGAGCCCTTCCTTTTGCTGAGACTGTGGTGTTGGAGATGTAAGCGACACCTCTGTGGACGTTTGAGCTAAAGGGAAACTTTCGTGAACATCCCTCGTTACCTTGCTCACGGTCGGGCTTGCTGTCGGGCTGGCCGGCCCCGATCCCGATTCCCTGAACTAGATGCGCTAGTAAGGACACTGACCCACTTCTCAGCCTCGTCCTTGGAGTAGGCTTTAAAACTAAGTTCGGACGACGGGGCAAAGACCTGGCATACCCTACCACCGGAGACGTCTTTACCCTTGACACTGAATTTGACACCATCCAGATGGCCGACGGTGCATTCGGGGAGGTAGAGAGTGATATCGGGGGTGGGATCATGGCGATAATCGTCATTGTCCTTGAATCCGTGGAGGTAACCAGCTGGAGAGACGGCATAATAGCCATAACTATAGCCCCTGATCACTGCACGGGATTTCCGCTCAAGTGTGCCCTCAATTAGAGCTTTGGTGGCCTGGTGATCCTGGTTCGGGAACGTAGCATTGGATATGCTGCGGGGAGCAGTATTGGGGTTGAGCAGCAAGGATTCATTGCGCAGGTAAAAGTCCAGCCATTCGAAGCCCGGATGGAATTTTTGGGCTGCACCGACCACGTCTGCGTAGGCTGCTCGCTGCTGTGCTGTTTGGGCATCCATGCACTGGAAAATTTGAATGAGTACATTTCGCACGGTTTCAAGAATATGGGCTTCAAATTGCGAAAACGAATTCTGAACCTGGAGCATCTCATGAAGGCGGTTGTTTTCTTCAGTTACCTGCTTGTTGAGGCGATAGTTGGTACCTCTGCATAACAGGTAAGGGTCATGGGAGGAGTCTAGCTTCCCACCGGTGGCAGAGCCAAAAGTTGCTGTGTATTGACCCAACATTTCGATATGTTTCTGGGTTGTAGAATGGGCCTTATCAACCTGTTTGGAGCCTTTCGAGGCACCGTGACGGATTTCCTTGGCTTTGGATTTGATGCCATGACGAAGGCGTTTCAGTTTTGGGAGAACAGTAGTTTTCAGGCTCTTCTCGGTTTCAAGGTGCAAGTTCACAAGTCCCTATCATGCTACACAGTTAGCAACTTAGAAACTGAGTTAGGGTCCAGGAGTCTCGTAGCCATTGATGTGCAAGTACTTCTGTATTAGTCCGTAATTTGTCGAACAGTCCAGTCACCCCGTCTTTGCTCTGATTGAAATGATGAGCTTCTTTGAGAGGCTCTGACACGGTCTATTGCATGACGCTCGATTCAACACCATATTAGCAATTAGTCTACCTAACCCTCAAAGAAATTTAGCAAGAAGTCTCATAGTCATACCTTCAAAACTTTTTCAAACTCCTTGGACTGACTCCGTTGCACTTTTTGCATGGTTGTAACATAGTTTTCTAAATATCCGCACATGTGTTTCCAGGCCTGAAGCCTTTCAAGCAGAATATTGGTCGCCTTTAAAATATGAAAATCTTTCAGTCAGCATAATCCTCCCAGCTACATGTAGGGTCGGAAATTGGGAAAGAAAACATACACCACTCATATCGGAGTCAGGAATACCTTCGTCATCACTTAGGGACGTATTTGTAGTTGCCACAGTATTTGCAGTAGCAATCCGATGGGGAAGGTTTACGGAATACATGATAGAAGAGTTTTAACAAGACCTGGAAAGGGAGGCGTGTTGCTGTTGTGTATAAATCCTGTGGGGAATGTTAACTTGTATGGTAAAAAATTGAGTTGACTCGCTTAAATTGTCGACGAGAGAGAGATAGCTCCCTAGCATCACTAAGAGTATTTCAATGATAGCGGTGGCAATAAATGGAGCATAATATATATAAAAATAAGTAATTGTGCTAGGATTGTCTGGAGGTTTTTCACTGTTGAGGGGTAACTAGCTAGTTCCCACTCGGGCAGTCAAGTCGACAGGGACAATGGAAGGCAACTTAGGCCGTGGGAAAAGCCCGTCCTCTGCAGATTGAGATACATCGAGTAGCAACGAAACTCCGCTTGATGGGGATGAAGGTTTAGGGGAGGGTTTTTCAAACAAAATGCTTCTTCAGATACGGCGCTTGGCAGATATCTAGCGACCGTGGCGGACTGTAGTCACAATGGTTCCAACGTGTTGAAATTGACAGAGTGGCCAGCTTGTTCATTGCATTGAACACTACGAGAACGACGATATTGTTGGACGTCTGAAGTGGTTGTATTGGTAGCCTATCTCAGGGATGCTATATACTACTGTGCGGTGCGCTAGTCCAGAATAGGAAGCCTAGGCTCCAACACCTCTCCTCAGACTAGCTACCATATAGACTAGCTACTGTCCTGCTCAAATCAATCATATTCATCTTCTTTTCAATCTATCTGTCTTCCACTAGCTGTATCCATCAAATCCTTTTCTTATTTCACTCATAATCTGACTGGCTTTTCAAAAGTTCTTCAATATTTGAAGAAATTATTACAAAAAATACTTGAGTTAACTAACTTACAAGTAGATTTTTCATATTTCTATCTTTGCTTTTATCTCTATTCTTAGTTTTATTTCTATCTCTATTTTTCAATATCTCAATGTGCTTCTTATTATGTTTCTGTCATTCAATGCTTGTGAAATTCAGATTTTTGAATCAGCAATGTTTGATAATATGTTTTGTATTCTCACAGTAGTGATATTGATATTTATCAAATCATTTAATAATAGCATTCATGACAGATGAATTGAAATGAGTCATAGTGGTAGTGGCACAAGTAGTCAACTGATTTATCAATTGATCAAGATTCAGATTCTGAATAGAGCTTTGCTTGATGATATAGAAATTGTTAGAGAGCGGATGTGAGCTGCATAAGAAGGAAGCTCTCTGCGTTGCTAACGGCTATATAATGAAATACTAAGGTTGGTGAGGAGAAAGGGGTGTCAGGGTCTGCTCAGATTATAAACAGCCCACGTGATCATGTGACCAGATCACGGCCGACCCACTAGATCCCATGTGGGGTGTGGTCATGTGATGGGGATAAACCTAGCCTCAGTGCTGAGTCTAATATCACCCTCTGATCTAGAAGTGGACATGCTCTCATGCTAGAAGATCATCATCATCTTCATCTTTCAGATAGCTGCTCATCTCTCATGCTCTTACTCATTCATCTAGATGTTTTGATGATCTGACTTTAGTGAAGTTGATCTCATGAAAATTCTATATTATATAAAGTGATTTCTTGAAATTGTAAGTAGAATATCATAAAGAATTCTTATCAAATTTCTTTCAGTGTATTTGATACTGCAGTTTGTCCTGACTTATTCAACTAATCAGTATAAAATCTATCTCTCATTCATTCTTTCTGTCTATTTTGATTGAGTGTGATGATCTGATAATTTAATCAGATAGAGAGTCTTTGAGATTCTTATATATGTTGTTTGAGAAAATAGTTGAATAAATTTTCATTATTGCAGAAAGATTCAGTTTGTAGACATTGCTCATCTTCTTCAGAATTCTAAAGAAGTCAGCATTCTGCTTTGTCAGCTTACAGCTTGATCAATTCATCTTGTATAATTTCAAAATTAGATAAATAAAATTTCCTATTATAAAATCAAGCTTTCAATAATGCTTTTGTCAATCTGCCTCTTCATCTGTTCCTGTGCTATTCTTATGTCTTTACTTATCTGATTTCAGATCTTTCTCATTCAGTAAATGAAGCTTCTTTCTGTTTCTTGATTTCTTTTCTCATTCATGTTAAATTTCTCCACCAGTGATTGTCAGTCAAATGATATTTAAGATTTATATTCATTTGCTATGAGGAAGAGGGAAATTCCTTTGAAAGCATTTGAAGTAGCTGCAGAGGTGTGATCTATAATGAGCAGTCACTCATCTTAGTCATCTTGATAGTAACTGATGTAGGAGCATAGATGAGTAACAATGTATTGATTCATTACTTCTGTCTGTTTATCAGTTTGTATATGATATATCATTGAAAGTTTCAATTTTATGTCTAGGATCTGTGTAAACTTATCTTAAAAGCTTGATATGAACTAGGGGTCTTAGTTAGAGATAATTAAGTCAGATGCCTCATTATATGAATAGTAGAATTGAATGAATAGTCAGATCATCTTCTGAACTGTAACTCTCTTATTGATTGAAATAGGAATTATCTTCTTGCTTAGCTGACATACTATAATCAAAATGACATCATAACTTGTTTTACTTTTTAGCATATCTATGAAGTTCATTGTGATATGCTACCATGTCTGTTCTGGTATTGATAATGACTTTAGCAAATCAGAAGTCTTATGTCTTAAAATTTTACTGATCTGGCATATATGGCAGTTCTGAATATAGTGTAGAATGTCTGTCCACCAAGTAGCTCATTAATAGCATGATTGCACTAGAGCCAAAGTCTTTTGTCCTTCATAGTATGCTGTTGAAGCTTGATTATGAATTTTCTGCAGTAGTTTAGCTATCAGAGTTTTCTTTTCCTGAACAGACATCACTAGTCTTTTATTATATTATAGCATATTGTCTTTCATTGTATAGAGACTATTTTCATCATCTGCCTGCTGCTACAGAGACTCAATTGAGGTGACTGTCTTATTTAAAGACACTATAAGGGGTTGAACCCTTAGATTTACTCTGGCTAGCTGACTTAGCCTAGCCATCATTCACACATGCGCACATGATCATGCTATGTGAGCTTGCTTAAGCTCAAGTTCTCATCTCATTCCTTTCTTCCCTTTCTTAAGCAATTTATCCTTGTTATATAGGAGGACTAGCCTCTAGTTCTTAGAGCTTAACCCTTTACATTATGAATTGCTTCACTCCTTTCATTGATAGATCACTGGAAGCCTTAATCCTGTATCACAAAGCTCAGCAAACATGCTGACATATGATAGACTATTGAGAGTCTTAAATCCTGCATCATGAAGTTCAGTAATAGTACTGGTATATGAATAGACTGAGTTAGCAATCATGCTAACAAATGAATGAGCAACATTGAAAATGTCTAGCTGAATGAGATAAAGTGACAGACTTGTACAACAAATGAATCAACATGAAGCAATGAGCAGAGACACCCTCAGCAGCTTTGAACAACAATGAATGACCTTTCTTCAACAGCAGGAACAGGTCCAGCATGAGAACAGAGATTTAATAGCAGCTCAGCAAGCTGAAATAGCTAATCTATGACAAGCTTTGAACATCTCAACATCAACCCTCTCTTAATTGAATCTGCAACCACTCATTGCAGTCAGAAGATCAAAGACTAAGCTACTGAATTGCAAGAAGTATGATGGTTCTAATCTAAAGTACTACCCTCAGTGAGAGCTAAAGCTTCAATCAAAACTTAAGATCAATAGAAAAGCTTTAGGTAATAATGAGAAATGTGCTTGGTATGTGTACTCAAGGCTAGAAGAAATGGCAGCAGCTTGAGTTTACCCCTGAGTTGAGAATAATAAAGACAAGATCAACTTCATGATAGAGAGCTTACTGGAGCAGACATGCATACTTTTTAGTGATTCTGCATGACAGGAAAAGGCTATGCAAAAGCTCAACAATCTATGACAGAGTAGAAGAGCTCTCTTTGACTTTCTGCCTGAATTTAATCAGCTACTACTGGAAGCTGATAATCATAGATGAGATGATCACATTAAAAAGAGGTATTTGAAATCTACTCTAAGCATGGAGCTGAGAAAAGGCATGATGGGTGTAAGGAAACCATCTCTCTATGAGAATTACTGCAGAGAGCTTAGATTAGTTGATCATCAACTCTCTGAGCTTAAGACTTTAATACAGTAGTCTAAACATTATGAGAGCAGATCTTCTTCAGATCATATGACATCTAATCCACACTCTCTACTTTGTCATGCTATTCTTGATCAATGAAACTGATCTTAAGCTTTCACTGATGATCTGATGAATCTCTCTCCTGGTGCTATAACCCCAAGTGCCCACCACATCAAATTGATAAATCAGACAAAAATTAATTGATGAAGAGAGCAAGGCCTGTGCCTGAGATGCAGAGCTGAAGGTCATATGATTAAGAGCTGTCTGTTCAAACCTCTCAGACACTCTGCCATCCCCATGATAGCTAAGATGATTCCTGAGCTGGTACTAGATGACAACAATGTGGATATGAGTGAGAATTTGAGAAAAGAGTAGCTTCAACCAATAGACACTGGAAGAAGCAAAATAAGAAGCTTATGAGAAAGCAATAGAGAAGATTTAAATCTAAGATGATATTCAAACCTTTCACTGTCAATGCTCTAGTAGATAATGTCTTTTCAATTATAGCAATGATAGACAGTGAATGTAATATCTATAATCTTATTTCTCAATTCTATGTTAACAAGCATAAGCTTCTGTGCATTGAAATTCCTCCTGTTAAAATGACTGGCTTTGAAGACTTCATGGAACTCTCCACAAGCATAGTGACTGGCATTCAAATTGATATATGTGGTCATGTAACTGAATGAGCCTTTTTCTACATGGTGAATGAGTTACATAGTCATGATATGTATATAGATGACCTCTGACTGGCCCAGCAAAAGGTGACTGTGATCCCTCATCAAAGAATTGTGAGATTTGAAGAGAGTGGTATAGAGATAGAGTCTAGTTCAAATGCAAAAGCTGATGTGATTCCCATCTCTGCTGTAAGCTTCTT